ACGACTCAACGAAGTTTGAGCAAGTTCGCTCATGGCCAGTACATGCAAAAGCGGATGAATTGCGCAGTCTTGCTAGCTTACTTTCCTACTGTCAACATTCTATACAGCGATTTTGGACAATCACTGCCTATTTGACAGGAACTTTATAGGCAAGAAAACCGTTTGCTTGGGAAGCAGCCTAACACAGCTTTCGGGAACCATAAAACCGCGTTGTACGAGGCACCGGTGTTAACATTTTTAGACCCCCGCCCATCCATCCCGGATAATAACGCCATCGAGACGGGTATTGGATCCATTCTATCTCAACGCACGTCTGACGGCATTGAGCTGGTTATCGCATATACCAAGCAAAGTTTAGCTCAACGAGTACGCAACTACTTCATGATGAGAAAAGAAATGCTCGCATTAGTATTCTTCATTAAACAAGTTCAACATTATCTTCTCGGCCGCAAATTCATCGTGCGTACCGATTGTCAGCCCTTGAGTTGGCTGAAAAACTTTCGGGACCCCAAAGGTCAAAAGGCTTTTTGTCTGGAACAGCTAAGTGAGTGCAAATTGGAATCCCAACATCTCCCAAGTATGAGAGGTGCTAATGCTGAGGCTATATAGCTTAGATCGATCAGAGACCATACGTCGTGTCTTTCTTCCACAGCCGCTTGAGTAGCTGCTGTTATCTCCTCAGTGCACTTGAAAAAGAAACATGGATCCAGTTGCTGTCGACCGACTCAGAGCTGAGCCCATTGCCTCGCACGCGGTGAAGACCGTCCAATACACCACCAATTTGCCAACGCCAGCAGGGTAACAATACGTTTGTGGATCCTGTGGCCACATTTTCGCATGCTCAACGGTAACATGTAACTTATAGCATGGATCAACCTATCTAACGAGTATTATTGTTCCCACAACAGTAACACATGACGATTTGTGCAGAGTGAATGAGTTGTTAGGGTGTACAGGACAGAACAAGAGGGAACAGGTACTGTGCCGTCAATTTTGGAGGCTCTATTAACGATGCGACTTTTCAGATTACTCAGCCACATCCAGACTGTGCCAGCAGTAAGAACCTATTGACAACTCGCGGCGCACTAAGGCAGCAAATGTCGGTTGGATTTCCTAATTATGTTGTCGGTGTTTACATTATCGGTCCATTAGCAGAAACCGTTCGATGACATTGCTGTATCTTAATTATGATCCATTAATTCATGAAATGGTGTGAGGCAGTTACATTCCAGGACACGGACGCATGGTGGGTTGCGAAAACCTTCAGCGAGTGGATGACAAAATATAAAAATCCCTACTAACTTCATCCGGACTATGGATGTTCCAACGAGAGTACGCTGCTGAGTGAGGTGCATCACATAGTTGGAGTTGTTTAACCGTGGAAAACACATGCCATCCGAAAGGAAATGAGTCAATGCACTAAGCAAAACGCACACTGGAAGGGCTATTCCAGTATTTCCTTAGTAAAGAAACATCAACTGAGTGGGATCTGTCTCTGCCAAAATGAATACTAGCTTATCGTGCGACCGTCCATTCTACCACCGAACCAACCTCGCATCTCATAATGGCAGGTCGTGAGCTACAATTGCCATCGGAAGTTTTATTGCCTAGAGCATACCAGGGACCAATGAGCGCATCTGCGCAAGTAATCACGATGCAGACCAGTTTGGTCTGAGCTCATTAGTTGACCCAAGCACATCTGCAAAACTCCCAACGCCACCAAAAAACACGTTTAGATTGCAAAGCTTCCAGTAGCCTCTTCAAGCCTTATGCCTTAGGGTAGCTCAAAGCGTTGAAGACTCCAGCAGGCATACACAAATCTTCCACCGGAACTGGGAAGGTCCGTATGTGTTAAAGGACATGTGGTCTGACTTGACGTGTCAGATCTTGCAACCAAGAACACCAGGTTTGTCGACGGTAGTACATTTTAACAGGCTTAAGCTGCACAAAGGGAACAAGAGCACCGTGGGCAGCGCCTATTAAAACGGGAGCAACGTAAGGCAGGACGCCTTGTTGTTTTTATCTCTCTCGGATCCTCTGCTTTTCCTGTCGTGGTGACCTTGAATGCGGTCACGTGCTTTTTCGCTTGGTTGCTCTCAGCTACTTAGTTAACCCGCGGTGTTTGCTTTCCAGTACGCGCTCGATACATTGTTTGTGGATATTAGTTCATATAAGTGGATAGGGTTGGACACACAGCCACCCAATTTCTCTCTGCTTTCCAATGCAAGTCCATTGCGATCTACACCAGGCAAAGAGGAAGGAAAAACCCGCCATCGTAACTCGGAAAAATTTTACCACATTTTGTACAGTTTTGTAGATTGTTTATTACCTACATTTATACAAGCCGCCGTTAGCTTTTGCTCATAATGCAACGCGCAGAAAGTAATTCTGTGCCCTCAATTCCAGTCAAGACTGCTGAAGCCGCTATTGACATGATGCCACGTAGAAGACTCGGAAACGACTCATTAAACTTATGACTTAAAGAGGAGTTTGCTGAAGATAATATCGACTCAGTTGCTTAAGAAATATTGAATTGCTTGGGCGTTTTCAGTTCTGGTTTCCGATCTAGTCCTGTATTTTCGCCAACTCGTGCAGATACTTCAGTTTCATATCCTTTATACACTGCACCGTTAAAAGTTTCTTAAATTTGCCCCTTCGCGCTTTGGAAGCGATTTATAAAACATAAACTATTTAACCCAAACAAAATCATTCCATGCGCCATTCTCATTTCAGCTTTATCAAGTGGACCAGTTTACTTCGGAAATCTGGTAACAGCTACTAGGTTGCAGCTTAGGATTTACTGCTTGTTGAAACAAAGACGTAATGTAGGAATGGTAGCAAGTACCCTAGCAGTTATTCAAACAGGTCCACCTCCATGTTTTTGTTCAGACAGAAATGAGGCACAAGGAAGCAGTAAAATTACAATATACCCCACACGACAATGTGTAAGTTCACTATTGCTATTAGCTATGCATCCTAATTAGCAACGTGGGGTAGATTATCTCTCGAAATTTTTGAGTTACATTAGCGAAACGGTAAAAGTTATTTGTTCGTGCGACAATAAATGCGACTATACAGAAATAATGCAAATCGGTTTCCAATAATCAGGAAACAGCCTAGATAAGTACGAAGATTCATATAGGAACTGGTCAACGATTCGCTACGTGAACAAATCGTGAATTGTGCGTTAGGCGTTGTCATAGTGTGCTTTGTGTAATACATTAGGCATGCAGACGAGCCAACACGAAACACTATTTAACCAATTATCATAAACACACATTCGGAGTGGCACCATGCGTGATCAGTTTTTGTTAAGTATTTGTGCTCTACTATTATATGTCTATTGTGGGAGTTTCAGTAAGTATTTTTCATTATACCGTTACTCTGTTGAGCATAGTGACAGAAATATGATATTGGTATAAATTTGTGTTTCAATCCGGCTCACAATAGTAAAGTATTTAGTTATGATATCATAATTATAGTCGAAGAACATCGACATGTTGCCTACCAGAGCAGTTAATAGTCCCCCTACGAACGTTCAGCTTTAATCATCAGTAAAGAAGTCCGATACTCAACTAGCAATACGAACTTTGCAATATTGAGATCTCAAAAAGAATCGAATTTTAATTTTGTTTACAAATACTAAAAAGGAACGATGATTAACCTAATGATCTGTCCTGCGCAGGTGTCATTATATATATGTTCATGTATTTAAAAATTATATATATGTAGATATCAAGCGTTGGTAAAACGACAAAATTATAAGCTCCTAGCAATGGCCAATCGGAAACATTTCCATTTAATAATAACACAAGGCAAGGTCACTTGTGTCAATCAGCCTTCAAGTGCTTTCGCAGAACTCAACTATAATCTTTACAGACAAATATCTGGTAACCTTCAAGCCGTCCCAGTTGAGCAACTTAATCGACCCAGGCAACTAAAAAGAAAATAATAAAAGTTTACGTTATAGGTTTGAGCATGTCCTTAGATATTATAATACACCATTAATATCATCGACTTTTATCTACACGCCTTAAACCTTTAACATAATCAGAGTTTCGGTCAGCGTAAGTGAATAATAGACTGCCGCTAAATGACCATGTTGTTTTATTGGCCATCCCAGTGAGAAGGTATTGGAACACTTTACAGTCACTCAAAAATTGACAGTATAACTTTACGGCCTCGGTACTGCGTTAGTACGATCTGTACACCGATTTCCATTGATGTTGGGTGGTACTGTTAACCCAAAAGGGTGCATTCACGGTATATGTAATGCATGTCCTGGAAAGTTTATCTGGATGAAAAAATGATACAAACTTTGTTCCACTGGGGCGATATTGGTAAAATTGACGTCACCCCAGTGGACCTTTCTCAATCAATCGTTGTATGCGTACAGTAGCATACATTGCACTGTTCGTTAGCCTATACAGTAAGCAAAACCTAAAAAGTTTTCCGCTTCTATATTTTGAGCCCTTTAACATACCGGCCGTGTAATTTTCATTGTTTGACCGTACACTTTATAAAACGTATGAGATCAGAGATCCGCAGTTTGAACACTTTGATCCAGCCTTTTGCGTGGTCAAATTAGGGAGCTTTATTGTATCTGAATTTTACAGATCAGCGTTACATAGTTCGTGGAGTGCGTATATAGAACAGGATAGCTATAGAGGTCAATCGTTTTGGGCGTATTCGCGATTGCTGTACCGAACGAGATCCAGTGTGAATTTACCTAAGCGTCCATTCAAAATCCCTTATAAAATCAATTCACAAGACATCATCACAGATTCTTACAAGCCATGTAACTGTTGTTATTGTTATGAAACCAAATCTGATTTCGTTTTGTTTCAAATTTAGCCAGTGCTGTTCCTCTGAACAAGCAGTCGTATACAGACTCCTACGTTGATAATTGCGACCAAGTAAGTATTGTAGTAGTAAGCTAATCCAAATCGTCGCCTTGACGTTCACAATGGGCAAAGTTAAGCGACGCTGGTTTATTTTAGCTGATCTCGCTTAGAAAGACAATTTGGGATGACGGAGTTTTCAGTGACTGCGTTTCGGAGTCTCTCAATTACTCAAAACTGGACAGATTTCGTCTGTCGTACAATATTACCGTAAGTAGTGATAAAAATTCAACGTTTCCAGAAGAATTTGGACTTCATGGAAACGTTAGCTGCAGTAAACCAGTATCTAAGTTACAACGTGCTCAAATGCAATACTCGTACTGGACAGAATTGGGATTTAGAAAAGGATGATGAAGGTAAGACAGTAAAATTAAAGTTTAATGTGTCCTTTACAAAGTATGGAAAATTGTATCCAAAAATCGGGTTGCAGTATGTACCAAAGTTGCTTTATGATCTAAGTAACCACTCAGCATCAAATTTCCTGGCAATATTGTTAACTGATAGCGGTTTTTGGACAACGCTATACAAACCATAATTTTTGTCATAGAAACTGACCGTAAGCTTCTCTTAAAGCGCCCTAAAATCCTGATACTGTGTTAGTTATAAATGCTTGCCTTACGTGTACTACTTGTAAATTGATGAACTGAATTATTTGGACGTTCATCACACAAGTGCTTCCTCCCGCAATCCGGACGGGCGGGGACCTATTTAGATGTGCTTCGGACACTAGAAAACTGGAGAACATAAATGACAAATGGCGTGATGCTTCTGAATATGACACTGTTATAGCGCATCGTTTGCACTACTGGTCTTTGTCAGCAAGTCATTACAGTATTACAACTATCGGACCATCAGTTAGCGCCATTGAGCGATAGACAATCGCTGAGTAACCGTTCGTTATGCCTTTGGCCTTTCACTGGCCATGGAACGAAGTTCGGTTCAGCAAACGCTTTCGCTGTGGCCTTAGGCTTCCTACTTCGTGCTGATTGTGGAGTCTTTTCCCTATGAGGGTGGGCGGTAATGTATACCAGAAAAATTGCGTTCACGGCATTGGTTAATGTTTTGGTTGAATAATATTTACAATAACGGAAATTTGTCCTGTATGTGCATCAACTGGACGGTCAATAGCGTAAGTAGCTGTTAGTCATGCGTTTCAACTGTCGTTTCTACATAAAAATGGATCTATCGTGTTATTTGGAAACTTATATTTGACTACATATATATCCGCATTTAATGCTACTTTGCTGTGTAACAATAAAATCATGCATAGTTCTTACTGCGCTCATAATTAACACTGTTTAGCTACGTACTGATTTGCTTGTCTGTCAGTGTTATTAATACCCATGTAGAAAGCAGGTGACGGAGACGAATTTGCATTCCTTGGTGTTAGTATGGCCTATCCGTGAGCACAAAACCTAGGAGACTTAAATGTATCGTTTTAATTTTATGAGCGTTTGTTTAGTCTATTGCTGTAATGTGTGAAACATTAGGATGACTAAAATCTGGGATTATATATGCCACCGGTACCGTGGGATGGTATTTAATTACTGTTCACAAGCAATGATGTGTATGCGGAGTTTTAATTACGGCAAAACGGAGAACCGCTACGGCGATTGCACAGTATATATATTGCGAAGAACTTCAAGCAATGGAAAGCAAGTAAGCGACTCACTGCGGAACGCAAGTAATCGAGATTCATACATAAATAAGCGGACGTTTATAAATTGCATCCTTCATTAAGACCTTAATTTTAACTATGCTGACAGATTTCTTATTTCGGGTTCACCGCAATATCTACCGAAGCATGACGATTCACCTAGTAAGTAAAACAGCCCTACTCTTTTGCTGTACAGTGTGGCTGGCGCATGTCCAGTCAATGCAAATTAATGCAGAAAAAACCTTAAGAACGAAATGCTGAATTCCGAAATAAGAAAATTCTAATGCTATTCTGTTACATAAAATAGCAACACGGTTCTACACCTTTTCAAATGATTGGAAAACCGCCAAACTTAAATGGTTCACACAACTGAAGTAACAAGTATTTTATTAGTCTGTTTTAAAAGCTAGTTCTAGTCCCTATAACTTGAAAGTCATTATAAGCTTAATCCAGACAGGACAGTAGATTAGTTTTGAAATATTTCTGTAGTTTACATTGTAATACTGACAAATTCCTACCTAGTCTTGTACCGAAACCATTCCGCCTGCCTTTGTTTGTGTCTGCTAATTATATTCTTATGCATCTACAATGGTCTGCAAATTTAAAGCTCAGCCATTTAAAGTGATGGCGGAAGTGTCAATGACTGGGAATCAATCTGCAGCAAAGTACTGTGAATACGTAAGTGCACATGTTAAGAACAAAAGTTAATACCGTCGTGACTGATATTTTCTAACATATGAAACATGGCATCCGGTTGTCCAATATAAGCAAGGATTATGTTTCAAGTGTTGTTAAAGGTAAAATGTATTCATGAGATATTTCGTTGACGCTGAAAAATTCCTAGCTTCCCTAAACAGGGAACATAAACGTCATGTAGCGTTTCACTGCATTCGCTACCATCTTTTGTCAGATTCAATAAATTATGAGACATTGAAATTGACTGGGCAGCAATAAACCTGCATAATAACTATTGCTTTTTACCAAATTGTCAAACGAAAATTAGCAGACAACTAGTAAGCTGCAGTGTAGCTGCACATTTCATCCTTTTCCGAGCTATTTACTTGTAGACCGTGATTTGGAATTATAGTAGGCTTAAAAAAGCATGCGAGTCACGGTGGACTGTCACTCGGGAAGTGGGTTCACGCAGTTAAATTCTCCATCGGTTCTGAGCAAATTTCAATTTGTTGGTCATATGCGGCTTTACATTGAGCTCAATGGCAGGGGCTGCGGTGAAACACATCTTCAAAGTTCCGAAGAGTTCTATAAAATGAAACCTTAATATCTCTGGTAACGTTGTTTAAGCTCCCGAGAACGCACTGAATTTCTCCCCGTACGTAAAACCTTTGCTTGTTTGATCCATCTTAAGCTTTGGAAAAGGTTTGGTTACCTTGCCTTAGCGAAGTAAACTAGAAGTTGACAAGTTTCAGCACTTGCCCACCATCTATCACAATCTAACATATCGCTATTCATTTTTAACATTGTTATGCGAAATTAAATAACTAACCAAATATTTATTCTCCACAAAGCGAAGCACACCTTCTGGGCATGCTAAGCTTTTACAGAGGATAATCGCGCGTTGTTCCCATAGGGTACCAATAAACATAAAAATGTCAGCAAACGTAACATGTTGCTAAGACATTCACTTCATGCTTTGCATCGTACCACTAACATTGGAAAACAAGCAAACTCATTATAAAGCTTACAGCGTATATTCAAAGGGTAAATGGTAACAGCAACAGCCAGATTTGTTATTTCGGTGTTTAGTTTACTCTAGAATGAGATCAACTGAACGTACTTGTATGCGTGCCTTAAATAAGAACTTGGATGTAATCAAACGAACGAGGCGACCGGATGTTATACATTTGGTCCTCGCGGTGCGGGAGACCGGTACACACATAGCTCAGCGAACAGGGCCTGTGCGATCCGCCTATGACAGGGTGTACTGTTTGTGGGTGCGGCTTTCGCAGGCTACTAAGACGACGCCTGGACTGATTGCCGAAGGTCAAAAACCACACTACTCGGCATCGCTTCCTTCTTCTGGGCGAATTTAAGGCTTTTAATACGGTGGCCTGAGGTTAAACTTAGCATCGGCTGCTGTGAAATCGAGGCGCAGTTCACGACCTGCAACGCATGTCAGCCAACCGACGAGCTTTTCCCCTCGTTCCGCTCCACCGTGCCTGGACCTACAGCTAGCGAGTTGCGAGTAACATGTAGATGAAATACAGGTCCTGGAGCCAATGGTAACTATTAACCAATCGATGGTGTTAGCCAGCCTATAGCTGCCGCTGCCCGAACGGCATCCGCCGTAGCCTTCCTGCAATTATTCGAAGACCGATTTCGACGATCTTAATCTAGCCGCCAGTGAAGTAGGCTGGTCGCTGCAGCAGCATTCATCTGTTGAAGTCTGTTAGTCTGTTATACTAGAGGGTGCGCAATCGTCATGCACTCATTTCGTACTCCACAAGTATCGGAAAGCTGGGCCAGTGAAGCCACATTTGTTCGACAAAGAAGATGCTCAGTTACCTCGACGGCGAAGTGTAGTATTGAACGAATTTTTCGTGACTGGCTCCGATGACGATTATGCGGAGCGGAATCTATGTACCAGCGCAAAGCGCGAAAGCGTCGGCAGTTCAAAGAGGAGCATACAACCTCGGCCAAGACGGCTTTTAAAAAGTTTTTTGCTTAATTGTCGTGGCGCCTGTCACTCCAAGTGACATGGCTGTGTTAGAGGGCACTGATGGACAGCCTCTGACCTCGAGCACTGAAAGTGAGTTCGCATTGTCGGAGCACTTTGCTTCCCTATTTACAAGTGGGCATGCGCCTATGCCGAACTCCAGGTGTACAACCCCTACTAAATTCTACGGCTTGGTATGCGGTGTAGAAAAGTCCTGAAGTCTACCCGCCAGTCTTGATGGCAGGCATTCTGCCGGACCCGATGGAATCCACCCGGTAATTTTAAAGACCTTAGTGGCCGTCATCTTGCTTGCTATGACGGATCCGTCCAACAAACCGCTGTCCAAAGGGTGCGTTGCTGAGCGACTGGAAATGCTCGGTGAACCACACAATGTGGACTAGTACCGGCCGGTTTGTCTTACTTCTGTCTTGTCGAAGACGCCTGGGAAGATAGTAATAATGTGTTTTCTCTAGCTGCTAGAGCCGAAAGGCATCCTAACGCCGGCACAGCACAGCTTCTTGAAAGGCCGCTCGTTGCATCATTAACCTACTGTTAACGCAGCAAGCATGGTCGCCATCATTGCGCCAGGGGTAGTCAGTGGATGTTATCTGCATTGGTTTCAGTATAGGCTTAAGTTAAGTGAACAATAACGACCTGCTTCACAAGCTAAAGATGTGAGATGTTGGTGGCTCAGCGCACCAGTGGATCAGTGACTACTTTATTAGCAAAGGATGGAGAGTACAGGTGGATGACCACCTAACTGACTGGTACATTTCCACTGGCGGAGAACAAGAAGGCACTTTGCTGGGGCTCATTTCATTCCTGACCCACATATAATAAGTGCCACGGATTTGCGGTCGCCGTGTGCACTGTTTGCAGACGACTGAAAGATTTGGTGGTTTGCTGAATCTTTAGACGACAGTGACGACCTGCAGTAGGACCAACACTGCCTATGCCGTTGATCTATAGAAGCTGACCTACAGGTGAACTCGGCTAAGTCCCCGATAATGAGCCTGGGGAGGGATGGTACTAGGCGTGCGTACACCTTGGCTGATCAACTGCTGCATCCCCCAGTTCCGTAAACGATGTACGCGTACACTGACGTTGTGATCTGAAGTCTGTCAGCAACACCCACTGACTGTATGCAAACATACTACGGCTGCTTTGCGCACTTAGACGCAGCTACTTCATTTGGTCGGCAGAGATTGCCACACGTCTGTTCATTTCCATGACAAGGCCGGTGCGTAAGTACTGCTCACTCACCTATTTTCCCATTACAATAGGTGAGGTGCAGAAATGGAATGGGGGCAGCATGTAGCTACTTGGCTCATCCCCACTTTACGAGGTAGGTCGTACGAAGACTGCTGTAGGAGACTATGATGGTATACGCTGGAATATCCTAGCGGGAAAGACGCGAGAAGACTGTGTATTGCCAAAATAGCATACAACTAACAACTCAAAATCCCGAACATATATGGACCGGGTTACCTTCCGTGACGCAACGCCGATGAGGATTTGTGTGACGAACCATTCCAGGCACCTACAAGCTTGGGTATCCATACCATCTCCAATATTTCCTTTCAGTATCTCCGCTTTGTTACATCCGATTCTGACCAACCAGAGGCCATTCAAAACTTTTGCTTTTCCCTCCATTGGCTGTATCACTCGGCTTGCATTTGGTCCTGTGAGCCTCGCTGGCAAAGAATTTTGCTGATTCATTGCGTTATCGACAAATACCTCCTCCGTCATCCTGGACCAAAGATCGTTACCAGATACCGCTCGTTATGCGCTGTCGGCTCGGTCCGCAGGGCTCGCAGAATCTTGTCTCCTCTTAACCATTGCGTCAGTTGGTATTTTCCTAATATCCCGTTTTATTTATCTTACCGGTTTTCGAGTAGTCGTTGGCTTCCGCCGCCCTGCCTCCGCCCCTTTCCCGAGGTTGCTTTTCCCTCTCCTACCTTGTTCGTAGATGGGCGGCGTTGAGCCAGCGGTTTGTGCATCCACCTTCGATATGGGTTTGCTCCTTTCCGATCGAGTGTGGTGTAGAGGTATTTCCAGTGTACCCTTAGCTTACACTCATCTGGCCCTTCATGGTCTGGCCGCTCGTTGTTCCGTACTTTGACTTGTTCTTTACTCCAGAGCGGCGTCCACTTGTGCGCTCCATGCCTGGCTTCGCAGTTCCTCTTATTGCGTGCTTGTCTGGCTTTGGTTCTTCTCCTACCAGTCGCTTGCAGTCGTACGTGTTGCAGTGTCGGTTGTTCCCACTCACTCGGGTTCGCTAAGCACGCATAGAGCGCAATCCGTGATTCTCAGCCAAATTGTAATTTCGAATGGCGAAATCTTGGTGGACGACTGCATGCTGGTCCGAGAGGCAAAGAAAACTTCAGGTAATGCTTCCTCTCATGCCAACTTCGTGAAATTTATCCACGTCTTCATCGTCCTGTTGGACAGTACGACCATTACGTTGGCCTGCAGGTGGTACGGTTAATTGGTTCCCACCTGGACGCTCCACTTGTCCAAAAGATGCTTAAAAGCTTTCGACTCGAAGCAGGTACCTTGGTCGATGAGAACACCTTGTGCTGTTCCATCCCTAGCTGGCACACTGAATTCAAATGTTTGCCACATGATTTCGCCTGTTTGATCAGCATGGCTTCAAAGCAGCGCGTGAACCGGTCAAGCAACACTATAAAATATCGGTTTCCTGATCGGCTCACTGATAATGGCTCAAAGACCTTCAGTCTGAAACTCCGAAATAAATAAATAAACAAACTCTCTACGCTCAACAACGCGAGACGCACATTAACAGGCATTATGATGTCAACCTAACAAAGTGTGGTTAAGAATGTACAAAAAGACATGTTTTATTCAACAGAGTATGTACGTGTATGGGTGTATATAGGTATGGGATTTTTATGTATGTATCTTTCCAGCTTTTGCTTGTAAGTTTGTTGCTGTGTTTTTAACTGTTATATACTTGTCCGGTTCGCAGACCGTGTCCAGCTATCCACGCTGGACATGTCATGGGGATGGTGAGTGCAGTTGTTCCTTGTGGCTAAATATGTCCATAACAGGCAAGAATGCCATTGCGTTGTCCAATGCGGGGTCGTTGCGAGTTTCTTATTCCGCAAAATAGAATCGAAATTCCTTTAAATGTCAGTAAATATGTGTACTTGTCTCCACAGTCAAGTGAAAACTCCATGCAATGCCATCGGAAAAGCCATTTATACGAGCGTCATTGAGGAGCAGCAAAGCTGTCCGTGAAATGACATCGGAAAAGCTCCAGGTGAATGGAGAATCATAATATTCTTTCTGAAATGTAAGGCACCGAAACCAGTTTTTTGTACACCGTTGAGAATAAGCAAAGTTTTCCGTGGTAGTGAAAGTAATCGTGACAGAATGGTTTGTCTTCCGTTGTGGAACAGGGGATACATGTAAATATGATTTTCCAGGTGAGTAAATTGTGTTACTGTGAGTACGAGGCAACCTAAACCCATTTGTTTAGACCCCATGAAAGTGGCGTCTCCAGAGTCGCGGAAAGAGCTCCATTTGGAACGATGCGTGGGTTCTTCAAATCCCGAAGAAAGGATCAAGTTTTTAAGCCAGCTGGGTACCGGTAATAAACTAGTCAGATTAATTAAAAGTAGAGCGACACCTAGTGGCGGGGCAATGTAGGGTTATAGATAATAAGCCTGTTATGTCAGAGATGAATAAGAATAAGCCAGAGGTTAGGACTTACTTAAGGAACGTACAGGAGCATCTAAGACCGGGAAAATGGTAGAACATATACCCGGAAGCATGTTTACCACCAAGCGTGTATGGCTTACCGATGTACCCATTCATCCTTTTGTGGATGGCATAGGTTCCCCGAAGCAAGAACTAGCTAGAAATTTGCCTGGTGTGTTACAACACTTGACAGGGTAAACGAATACGCTCGTAAAGGACTCTTATGACTTTGTGAGACAGGTGTCGGTTCTTGATTTTGTATCGGATAAAATGATGGTCAGTTCCGATGTTAGCTCTCTCTTTACTAACTTGCCATTATGCGACTCTTTGAAGATAGCAAAATACCGTCTGACTGGGGACCGTAGCCTGTGGGAGAGGAAAAAGCTTACGGTAGATAAATAACGGGAGAAATGACATAGTGCCTTAACGTATCTTATTTCGCTTTCCAAGCTAGATTATACACACAGGAACAGGGACTTGCCATGGGATTGCCGACATCTCATTTGTTAGCAACTTTGTAAATGGAAGAATTTGAAATGAGGACATTGACCAACACTTGTAGCTGTACGTGATGTTACAGGGATAAAACCTTGGTTATCATAAATGAGATAAGCATGACAAGTATGTACACCGCTTGAAAACTTTTGCATAGGCTGTTTCACCATGGAATTGGAAAGCTGCAGTGGAACCTTGTCATTCCTTGACTGCTTAGCTCACAGGAGTGGGGGTGGTCTAAAAACAAAAATATGTTGTAAGCAGAAGAACAAAGCTAGTGTACACCACTTTGGTTCAGGTCACACAAAGTAGATGTGCGCTGGCTTCGCCTCAACGCTGTTTCACAGAGCTCAAACCCTGTGCGCAAAGGAAGAATATAGGATGGCCAACAAGGAAGGAGTGATGAACCAGTTGTTTATTAGTGGATATCCGAAGTGGTTCGTAAAACGTAAGTTGCAGCGGATTTTCAATCCTCACTCACGTCTCACCACGGAGTGGATTGGGACGGTAGGTAATACTTATAACGCCAAAACATTGGAGGCCATTCGGAGTGATCTAAATAACGAATCATAAGGATACATTTCTAGAAAAGCCAAGAGCCCCGCTCTGCACTGATACACATAAAAGACCCACTTCCTGCAGATAGGAAGATAAATTGAGGCTACAAAATTAGTTGCAAAGAATACGCACACATGTATACCGGCCAAACCGCGAGAGAGGTATGCACAAGGATAGCAGAACGCAAGAGACGCCTAACACGGCCACCGAGAAACGAGCTTGAATATATGGCACTACTAAGGCGTTCCGCACTAGTGATGCACGCGATAGATACAGGTCATGAGATCGACTTGAATCACATCGAAAGCATTAGATAGTGATTGTTGTCAACTCTCCAGAGGCTGACTGTTGAGGTAGTTGAGATTAGCAAGGTGAATAATTTCGTGAACAGGAGGTACGGGGCAAAGCTTTTGAGCGTGTGGCGAGCAGCCTAAAGCCGATCAGTCTGTGGAGCGTCGGCGGACGTATCAGGGGCAGAGAATGAAGCCCACATAATTCCCCTACCCAACGTTAACGGAGCTTACGTGCATGACCAAGTGACGCTGACCACTTACGAGTGTTTCATGCCCTATTTGGAGGAATGCGTTGACCTGTAACGCGATTGGCCTACCGCCTACATCACATTCCTCGCGATTACCACATTAGTTTGCTGTAAGTGTTGTATTAATCCTCGAATTGTTCACTCTGCCCGAAGAAGCTTTTGTGTGAAAAGCGCCGAAATGATGTTTTACAAACTTTTGAAATTATAGAACAAAGTGCCTTATTTCGACTTTTTCACCTACTGCATGTGAGATAGAATTATTCGTCAATTAATAAAGATGGTTTGAGTTAATTGTAACCAATATTCGCAAGTAAAGTTACTAATAGCCTAACGTTATGCACCGTATATCGGGTCCGACTTAACAGAAGCATTAGCTATATAATGGTGCTGTTTTCTTTAGCTGGATAAGAACCAATCGTATACCTGCTTTTCTGCACAAGTTGACGGCCATATGTAACAATTAGAGCAAGTTACTGTTATCCGTGGTAAAAATCAGAGCAAAAGTTGCATAATATTTTATTTTGAATCATTTTGAGTTGCAGCTTTTAACCTAATTGTACCTTCGGTCAGCGTAAGCGACCAATAGACTGGCGCTGAATAACCTTTCACCTTTGAGCTACCCAGAGAAATTCGGCCCCTCAAAACAATTGTCTGTGTAACCTTACAGCACTAATAACTTGTAATTGTGCTTAAAAGATTGGTTTGCGCCTTAAATTATATGACGCATTATTGGCATAGTTAAGGCTGCGCTAAAAGTTTCCTGAATGACTAAAGTGTGTTCCAAATATGTCTCACTGACAAGGCCATGTTGTCAAAAGTAGCCACTCAGAAGGCTTTAATGGCCAAGTTGGTGGGCATTCTTTAGTCATTCAGGTTATGCGGAATGCTACAAATATTACTTTTTTTTACAGACAATCAATGTTTACGCGTTGTCTAAGTTATTGAAATAGGCTGTTTGGTGGTAGTCCTGTTATCCGTTCTAAATTTGCATAGATGCAGGAAAGCGTTTATTTCTTCAGTTAAATGCTTGATGTGGGCTGCCTACGAAACGACGCCTTTGAGTTGTGCCGCAGCTCGTGACTCCGTTGTGCATTTGGTCAAGCAACGGCGCTGAGCATGGGTTAGTGCTAATTTCCAACGAACGGAATCAAAGTGTGGTACAGCGTTCGACCACGATCGGCTGCGTTTAACATAGAATGGCAATTTTGGTTAACTTTCAAAACAACGAAACATAGAGAGAAATATTCAGACTGCTTCACTGCCACAGCTATAATGCTACACGAATTTAAGTTATAAATGTAATTTTTCACAATAATTTCAAAGTAATGGTGAAAAACTTCTATGGTTTAGCGGGGAATATTGTGGGCAAAGAAAAATTGCACTTCACGTGAATTCAGAAACACACGCGTTGTCAACGTGAACCGTTCAGTCATTACCTAAGTGTACACTAGTTTGTCAGCTTTGCCAGTAACTGTTTGTAACACTACTGAATCCCAACGACCTAAACAATGCTTTCAGCTAGACCACTACTAATACAACGATGGATGTTGTTTCAGGATAAGAACAATTTTCTTTCGTTATCCTTATTTTTCTGACTGGACTGTGTTCTCACAAAGCATACTTTTTGCATTCCCAAATCTTTGTTTAATAGCTTTACAAACGCGTAAGCCGGGCGACGGACTCCAACTATCTTACAGGTTGCGGCATCAGTTCCGCTGTATTTTCTAAACATGGTGTGCGCCAGCTGTTTGCATTGCGATTACGAAGGAATCCTTCTATTCTACTGCCATCGTCTAACTTAATCTGGGTGATGCAGCAAGTCAGTAATGTGCTAAACCAGGAGATACTAGGATGTGTAAACGTAACAAGAGTTCTCATGACGGAAAACTGCAGAGTTGCATGTAAGCTAATTGGCTGTTTACAATTAAAAGTATACTTTTGGAATAATCATTATATACGAAATTCCTAAAACATTTCTGTTCCACCTAAAGTCTTTTGCACTGAAATTCCGGACCAAAATGTTAAGGTTGTGATTATTCTGAAGCTTCTATAATGTGCCATAAATGAATGAGTTAATGTAATAAACATGTAGAATTTAACGTAGAAATGTCATTTTCCTTCTCATGCAAGACCATCAATAAGTGGCGAAACTAACAGGAAGAGGAAATATGCAATTGAAATTTGGTTGTATTCGTCCTCAAGTTTATTTGTCAAGAAAGCTGCTTGTTTCTGTTTACATTTCTTATACATAAACACAATTAACGAATTATTGACATTTATACTTTGTTACGAAATATGTGGTAATGTTCCTCATGTAAATATTTCAGTTAATTTGCTGCAGTTCTCAAAGCAGTTAAACGATGATGTGGATGACGAAAATTGGAAAAATACTAATGGTTGTAATGAGGTTAGTCTAAATGAAGTTTCTATGATTCACGCGGTGCAAAAGCACGCCAGCGCTAACGATGTATTTAACCCAACATTTTATTTTATCTGATGCACTTAATGTTACGGCTTTGCAATGGCTGGGTTTAAAATATGACACCTGCCTTTGGCGGCTGCAGAGCAACTTTTAAGCCGGTGTTATCTTAGCGAAGGGTTCACTGCCTCAGTTTTGCGACTGATTGTTCAAAGAGCATTATTTTCGTATGCTCTCGTTCAGTAAACAAAAGCTTTCCTTGTGCATTGTCATTTAGCATATGTTATGTTCGTGTTCTCTGTTGCTGCTTAATACCATTACACGTCCGTATGTATTATCGTGTTCAAGCATAAAGTGGATTTATTTAAGGAGAATAACCTAGTGAAACCAGTTAATGGAAGTACAGTGCATGGCATAAGCTTGAACTTTACCGTTTCGTCCCGACAGCTCACGAGCACCGTAACCTAACTAGCAGATAGTCTGCAAAAGTTACCAGTTGGCTTGCAAGTTGCGGCGTGCTGCCATCGTCGACGTGGCTCAGTGGCATAAGCTGATGGATAGTTGACACAAGCTGCTGGCGGTACGAAGTTCAATTCCCCAAAGGGGACCGAAGGAATGCGCGCTACTTACGCGTAGTAATAGGAGCAAACTTTTGGTTGTTTCATTGCCGGCTTGATGGTTAGATTACCAAGTAGGGAAACTGCTGCATGAACTAAGAAAATCCTTATAAAGACCCTACACACCTAAGAAAAAGCATGAATCGTCTAAATCAGATATAGTAACAAATTAACGTGAAAGCAAATGCATGTGTTCTATGTGAGAGGATAAATGTTTTATATGATGGACCCTTGTCTACTTTGTACCTATGAAATAATCTGTGGTCGAACTTGTAGTGTTAGTTTCAGGTTTTAATGGTGTGTATCTTCCGTGGTTAGGTCAACAGATTATAGAGATATGGTTGTGGATATATAAAACCTCTAGTTGAAAAGCAACACAATTAGTTAAGGGTACAAACTATTAAGGACCGATTTACTGCACCATAGATCCGGAAAATATTATCGGCTGAATTTGCATAAAGAGTGCAGACGAACCACCTTGTTAGTGGCAAAAGGGAGAGGTATTGGTGGAAAGGTTACTAGTAACAGGAATGGCCCATATATGCCGCTTGTGGATTAGCAGACTTTACAATGTAGACAACTGGAAAGACAAACGAAAAGATAGCGAAAACCTGAGCAAGCCATTTTAAAGAATAAAGTCAGACAAGCATAACTACAACTTAAATATACCTCTAGGCTAAGCAATAATCTTAGTTTGAGCAGGAAAAGCATGAACCAGGTAATTTTATTTTTGATAGGCTTTGTTTCCATAAAGAGAGGAAACAAAGACTGTACTTATGTCCATCGTTTATAGAAAGTATAACATAAGATTATAGTGACATTATTCAATAAATTTATACGGCTTTTGTCTAAACTCGATAAGTAGGCTTCTACGCAATTATAAATTTCTAATAGCGGAAGCAACTTTCCACTGCGAACCACTCGATTGCTTAAGATCCCGCCAGTGCGTTTTGTTGAGGTCCAGTTTGCTCTCACCACATGTGGTTTTACATAGCTGGTTTAAACAGATTAGTAAGCTTCATGAAACATGATTGCACAACATCTTTAAAAGTCACCATCAGATCGCCCCTGAACCTGTAATGTACCAGTAAAACAACCTTGAGCTACTCAGTCATGCTTGCAAGTTAGCTTATTTCTGGGTTTTTGGCTCGTCTGTATTAAACAACTCCTGCTGGCAGATTGGTTACGAATGCCTGCATATATTATTCCAAATGCAGCCGGACCACCACCTATCATGACGGAAGTAAATTTGATGTCGCTGTTCTATAGCACTCCTTTATGGCAGCACTGAAACTGCGACGAATTTTTGGAACAATTCGCTGTCGTGCTGCTTAATTAAACTACATAATCAACGCATTACATTCACAGCAACAGGGCAATTGTAATAGAAAATCGTGTGGCAGCCCACATTCTGTACTTGATGTGTAGAGTCGGCAGTGAATTGACGCATCTGAGCAACTGCCCGAAAATGGCAAGATGTACAGAATCAGAGCTGACAGCTTCTTAGGATTCTATGCCTACAAGTACAACCGTGACATCTAATGCAGGTGGAAGAATGTACAACATATTATTTCCTTTTTTAAAACGTAGTTTAGGAAATAAAAAGGCGTCAACTGAAACATGCACTTATTGGCAAATGCGTAACGACACCACTAAATCAGCCGCTTCTTTATTAATCTGACAGCCACTGTGGTTACCGGTATATGGTCAAAGTTTCTTTAGCTAAAATTAACTGATTCGTCTTTCGGTATTCTTTTGCACTCTCTGCTATTCTGGATGTACGGAGCTATTTTGCTGGTTATTATAAGTTGCCTTTCGAACCTTTACACTTGTTTGATGAGGCAGCCAATCTTTATGCCCTCCGGCTATCTACAATCTTTAGTAAATACCATTGCGTTGTTCGCGGAACTGTGGTCTGACTACTAATGTATAGACCGACAAATAAGCGTATACTGCTCGACTCTTAGCTTAGGCTAATCTTACTTGACCCTTCCAAATAAGGACGAAACCGATCAATCGTTTATGACAGTGTCAGAAGAGAGCAGCTCCGCAGCTTCATAAATATTGTACTACTTTGTAGACAAATTGGTTTTCTGACGCTATTAGCTGTGGTAATGAGGTGTCTTCTAGGGCTCAGTACGGCAAACTTAACTGAGGTTTGTGCAAATATGCCTTTATTACTTCTCAATCGCTGTTTGAACTTGGTCCAGTCTATTCTATGACGTTATTCCTTATCTAATAAAGGTTGATGCTACGGCGGCCACGCATAAGTAGAGGCATTCGTTAACGCTACAGCTATTGCTAAAACTTTGTGCATCTTCAGCAAAAGCGCAGAATGCAAGCATCACAATTGCTTACAGAAGACACAACCTATATGCATAAAAATGATTGAATCAAGGTCAGGAGGAGAAACCTCCAAATATTTCCATTCCGGAGACGGTCCTTGCAATCGGAATGAACGAGCTTTACTTCAGAGGGAATCGAGGTCTTCATATAAGTTGCGAGTCACAACCTAACCACATAGCGTTTTGGCTAAATACAACTTTGAAGGTTTATACTTGTTTTCTACGAATCGCAACTCGATCATCGCAGTCAAGTGGTAGAGCACTGAAATATTCGGCTTTAAAACTGGAAATTATTTTTTTGGTTAAATGAATTTTGTAGCATTAATGACGGAAACTTTAAGCCATTTTCTAAACACACTTTTAATCTTCGTCAGTTAGTTTTGTCAAAGTCAAAAAGAAAATGGATGAACTGTCCTTTTATTAAATGTGCTAACCCGATGCACATGTGGAGGCCGGATAGGAATGGAATTTTCTGCTTTTTAAGTGTAATTTAGATGTTTAGAACTGAGTTATTATTGTGTGTTGGATTACTTCGTTTGTAAAGCCATCTAAGCAAAGTGAGCGTGGAAACCTAGACGGAGAGTCAAAGGTAAGTTAGTGTCAAGTAGACACGGAAAACCGCTTGATGTGGAATCTCTGGGATAAGCCACCATGTTTAGTTATTAGCGTAGCGAGGGTTAGTGGAACATAAGCGATATTTTTCCTGGTAGGAGTATTAACCTGTCGGACAAAAGCGAACGCGTGCGCCCACTCCACAACGTTTTTATGTCAAGCGTTTACAATGTTTACAACACGTTACCTCCCAAACCATAAGTTCCGAATAACCGATGACCAGAAATATCGGTGCAACGACCGCCGCCTGTCTGTGCAAGAGGCCATAGTCCTTACCTTCCGATCACACCGGTAAGGGGCTACGGTGGACAATCCAGTTGTATCCAACTGATCCAGCGCTCACAGGCAAAATAAACCAGATTGTCCAATGTGTTTATTGAAATGTTAGCTCCTTTATTCTTGTAGCCATTAATACGCAAGTACAGTGGCGATTAATATGGCGCCTATAACAATACAGAAAATGGTCTGAGCCATCAAATCACTCAGAATTCCAAATCCCAGCAACCGCAACAAAGTTAATAAACTTAGGCTTGCCGTTAACTATTGCTCTTTCTATCGTGTTTCACACCAGTTAACCACGACGTTTATTCCACGCTGGAAAAAATATTATACAAATACCATTTGCTGGTGCTACGCCTAAACGACTAGAGAACATGATGTCTTTAGGGTATGTTGAGAAAGAACCCTTCAAGTAGTTGATCCGGTCTGACGCGCTGCTACACACCTTTTGACACCCCCGTCGAAGACACCTACCCAAGGATGGTAAGACAGAAGATTTGGTGAAAAGGCCAGAAGCCGTCGCCAACACTGTAAGTTGTGATGACGGATGTTGCTGGTTGATACAGTCGACTTTTCTTCGTCACTGATCAAGTAATAGAAGTTCACAACTTGGTGGACAATAGTGTCAAAGTTAGCGTTCTTTCAAACAATAAGAAACACACGAATGGAAAGGCAAACAGTTCGTCGCGCCCAGCCAACGTTGGTCATTATTCTGTGTGGTCAACGCTTGCGCCTGCGCGGTAAACTTTGAGGAACTTTTTCGTTACAGATCTTTAGACGCCACTTCTTGCCCTTGGCAACATGTAACACTTCTGTTTGCTTGTTGACAAAATGCCCGTCCTTTGATCAATTGCTAAGCTTACCTGACAATTATAGGCACTTTAAACGATTCTTAGTCAAGCCGTCCTCTATACGCCAAGCAACATAGCATAGTTATTCGTTAGCTGGTTCTTTGAAATTTTCCGCAAGTCTTCTGCGCAACCGCACCGATGCCATCCACTACAAATGCTGAGTAGCATCACAACTTTACGCTAGAACCGGCTGAACTCGCAAGTGCCAGGCAAACGACCCCAGACAAGCAGAAA